GGGGGGGGGGGGGGGTTGTTGTTGTTGTTGCTTCTTCTTGTCCACTGACGCAAGACACACCACTTGCTTCTTCTTGATGTGCGAAACAAAAACACAATGCAACGGGCACTGAGGAGGTTAAAGGTATGCATGTGTGTTTCCGTGCGTGTGCATGTTTCTGTGTTTTTCTGTTTTTCTTTTCCCCATTGCCTTTACGGATGAAACAATATTTGACGCCTCTGCTGAAAATTGATGCCTCCCTTTGCCTGGGCGTCATGCTGTCCGATTTGCCCCGCTTTATTTACTCTCCTCATTCAGCTTTACGTGTTGAGTTCGCCGCTTAATGTCCACTTTTTTTTTTTATCTGCTGTTTGTATTTACGATTAATTATGGGTGTTGATCTGCGTGTGGAGCGGTTGTCGTGGTGTGGGGGCTGCAACGTCGCCAGAACACATCTCACTGCTTTGAGAGGGTCACACGGACCAGACTTGTGAAGGGCCCTCTTCCGCTCCGTGTATCGTGCGTACATACACATTTCCATCGTGGTTTTTGTGGCGAGTTGCCTGTGCCTGTCTGTGCGTGTGACTCGTGACTGCGGAGACAACACCTCGGCCAGCCAGGGAGGAAAAGTAGATTGAAGGCACCTGCCGAGCGAGAGGACACGGAGAAGGAATATTTTATCGACAATAGAAAAATAAGTAATTGAGGGATATATATTTGACTAATATAGGCAAATACATACACAAGGAGTGTCGGAAACAACCCGAATAACTCTTCGTATTTTTTTCTATTCTGGTAACAACAACACACCTTATGAGTGGCACTAGTAAAGCCAGTGGCAGCTCTATCGATGTGCTCATTCGTGTGCGCCCAATGCGAGCGGAGTTGCAGGAGGTGAAGACAGCCTGGGATATTAGTACCTCCACACTGCGAGAGAAGGGCAATCCGGATAATCTCTTTACCTTTGATCATGTCTACGGCACCGACGCCGCAACGCAATCGTTGTATGAGCGTAGCGTGCGCAACAGTATCGTCACTAACGTTGTCAAGGGGTACAATGGAACCGTGCTTGTGTATGGCCAAACAGGTAGCGGCAAGACCTACACCATGCTGGGTGGTAGTATGGTCGGTGACTACAACGCACCGGTAGGGATTGCCGCACTTGCAGTGCGTGATCTCTTTTCGGATATTGAGGAGGAGGTGCAACGAAATCCGTCCATGCAGGTGGATGTGTATGTGTCCTTAATTGAGATTTATAATGAGCAGCTGCGAGACCTTTTGATTGCACCAGGAGCGCCAACGGCATCCTTGTCCATACGCGAGAATGAGCATGGCGTGTACGTGCACAACGCCGTAAAACGCCAGGTTGCGAGTGCACGGGAATGCACGCAGGTGATCCACGCTCATGTGGCGGGTCGCGTATCCGCTTCCACTGGCATGAATGAATTGTCGAGTCGCTCACACTGTGTGATTCGTATACTTGTGGAGAGGAACCTTCCGGTTGGAGACGCCAGCGATGCCTCCTCCACGAGCAGCGAGGAGAACGGGGAAAGGGATGAATGCATGCGACGGAAGATTGTTTCCACGCTTAATCTCGTCGACCTGGCTGGGTCTGAGCGAGTCGCCAAAACCGGGTCCACGGGGGTGCGGAAGGTGGAGGGCGGTCACATCAACAAGTCCCTCACAATTCTCACGACGGTCATCAGCCGTCTGACGGAAACAAACAGCGGCCAGGGCGTTGTCGGTAACAAAAACACCAGCAGTGGGGTGGCCTCAACGTTTGTCCCTTACCGGGATTCTCGACTCACACACCTGCTGAAAACGGCGATTGGTGGCAACTCCCTGACGGCTGTTTTCTGCTGCATCACACCGGCGGCGCAACACGTGGATGAGTCGCGCAGCACGTTGCAGTTTGCAGCGCGTGCCAAGGCGATCAAGAACAGAGTCTCCGTGAATGAGGTGTCCGATGTCAAAACGAGTCTGCAAATGGTGAAGGTGGAACTACGACGCTACAAGCGCATGATGCTGGCGACGACCCTTTACTTGTGGAGCAAAAACGTGCGCATTAAACGGCTGCAAGAGAAATTAGATGAATTCCTCCATCTTGGGGTGGCTCCTTCTCCTTCTCCTCCTGTAGCAGCTGCTGTTGTTCCTTACTCGACACGGATGGCACCAAATGAACAGCAGCGCATCATCATTGAACAACTCACACGGCAAAACGAACTGCTTCAGCAGGAACTTGTTGAGGCGCTTGAACGCCAGTTAGCGCTCGGGAACAATCCCCAGGCGGATGCACATACTGCCACCACCATAGGACTCGCCGACGATAGCGAGAAGCAGCAGCTCCGCGCGGACGTGCGTGACTTGGAGCAGATGCTGAAGGAGACGCTTGATGAGAAGAGCGCCATTCAGGTGTCTATGGATAAATTGGAAAAATTCTGCAAGGAACTTGAAGAGGAAAACGCGGCGCAGGCGTCCGTTAACAAGAGACTTCAGACGACATGTCAGGAGCTGCATATCCTCATAGACGCCAAAGAAAGCGCAGAACACGCTGGCAAGGATCAGCTGGTGCTGCTAAAAGAGCAACTTTCCAAGACGCAGGCAAATTTATTGGAGAAGGGTCGCGGCGATGAGTACCTGCAACAGCTCACAAAACTTCACATTGAGCATCAAGAGTTGCAGTATGCCCACCATCAAATTCAGGAAAGGCACAATCGAGAAATGGCAGAGGCAGACGCTAAAATAGAAGAACTGCGTGATAAGATTGATGGACTCGAGGATGAGACGGCGGAGTTGCGGGAGGCAAGCAAACTTCAGAACTCGTACCTATGGCGACTGCTCAGTGTGGCTTCTGTCGTGTCACGCGGCAAGGCGGTGAATCCGGAGGAAACGACTGCCACCGTTTGCGGCGCACAGGTTGATGCTGCAGTTAAAACACTCACAAACTTTGTGCAAACCTCGCTGGAAAAGCCCCCTCTGGCTGCTGAGTCCCTCGAGATCGTCCATGCGAGGTCGCAGCGGTGTAAAACACAAGACGAGCACCAAGAGGGAAATGGTGGAAAAGACGGGGCCAAAAAAGACAACAGCAAGGATGATACGGTTCTCCTGAAGCGTATTGATGAGCTGCAGCAGCAACTTGTGGCCAAAGATGCCCAGAGAGACATCACGGTGGACAGCAAACTGAAGCGCATGCAAAGTCTTGTGCTGCGCCTTCACACGACGAATGCGGCACTTACTGAGGAGCTGCTGAAGTCCTGCAAAATTTGCGAGGAATTGTTCCGCTTTGTAGACAAGCACCCGAAACTAGCGTTAAAATTGGCGAAGACGGGTCTTGTGCCCATGTCCTTTAAAGCGGCCGTTGATCGAGCTTTGCAGGCCAAAATTCCAGCAAGGCCGTATGGCCACAACTGAAGGCCGTTGTGTACGGCCTGGAGAGGTAACAGAAAGGCACACAAAGCCTGCACAACAGCAGCAACAGCAACAACAACAAAAAAGAAAAGAGTGATATATTTTCTTTAAATGTGATTCCAACGAGGTTGTGTTTGAAGGGTGCATATATATGTCTGTTGGGGGAGCGCAATTGGCACTAACAGGTGAGTGCAGCGTGAAAGTCCTATATTTTATGGTGTCGTAATGCCACCCACTGCGAACAACTTTTTAAGATGGTTCTTACGTTTTTTTTTTGTTTTGTTTTTTGTTGTTGTAGTTCCCGAGGTAGTTTCCTTGGCACATCAGTGATGAGGTGGCCTTAATATATAAACAGAAGCTACAGATATCAATCTGAATCTCCACTATATATATATATATATATTGTTATTGTTATTATTATTATTATTTACCTGTGTTCCTTTTATGCACGTTTGCTAACTTCCTCACACGCAGTTCACGTTGATGAAGGGGTTGCAGAGGGCTGCACGTCATGGCACCTACGCGACGCAGTTCTGGACACGGCCCAGTCACCCGCCGCATCGCTCGCGCCGTGCGATGTTGACGGCGCACTCAAAAAAAGCCATTCAGCGTCGTCTGGTTTTACCGCTTGATGCACATGACTGGGGGCGCGCCCTCGAAGTGCTCGACGCCAGTTATGCGACACTCGGGCGTAGCGCGGAGGATTATCAACGAGTCATCCGTGGCATCGCTCAAGAAACGGCACCGCAGCGGCGTTGGAACGCATTGCATACGCTGAACTCATTGCGGGACAGGGCGTATATGGGCGAAATTGCGTCTAGTAGTGAGTTGTGGGTCTCACTTGTGTGGGCGTATGCCCGTCTGCGCTATCCACACGAAGGATACGAGTGTTTGCTGCAGGGGGAGCGGCGCTTTGATTTTTCGTCACTCACAAAGCAACATTTAGGTGAGACTCTCTTGCCACTATTGGCTGAACACGGCATGTTGGATGAGGTTAAGTACGTTGTGGAAAACTTCTTGGGCACAGGTGGGAGCCGTCATGATAGGGCGCGCATCGCAATTCTTGTGGCAGAGGCCGCCGCTAGAAGTGGCTCCTGGGAGCATGCCATTGCGACAGTACAGCCCAGAATAGACACCTCAGCGACAGGGGCCAATTCACGTACACTGGCCTCTCTGTTTGTTTCAGAGGAAGCAAACAACGCTCAGGAGGAGGCGCCACAGACATCGCGGAACATGTGGCAGCTGTCAACGGAGGCGCTACGGTGCATGATGTGCTCTATGGCAGACGATGGACGGTGGAGGATGGCCCTACAATGCTTACAGGAATTGCGGCGCCGTTGCGGTAATGACAATCTTTGCTTTACCAGTGCCACCTCTGGGAATAACCATAGGAGTGGAGGTGCTCATAGTGGTGTTGCAAGTGAGACAGGAGAGGGATGTCCGTCACCGCTGCAACAAGAACAACGGCAGAACCAGAAACATCAGGAATTGTCACTCTCAGAAAATGAGTTGCAGCGGCTTCTTAATTGCTTGGGGAGCCATCATCGATGGGAAGAGGCGACTGCACTATTTGCATCACAGTATTTTTCTGATAATTGTACAACAGGCAATAAAAAAATGCGGCCTTTGCATTCCACAACGTTAAATCTTCTTTTTGCCTCGTTCCCACGAGAGACGAAAGAGTACTGCCTAGTTGCGCCGGATGACCAGCCTGAGCCACACGCTTCCAGCATTGACCCTCACTGGAAGGGGAAGGAGACCGTAGCACTGCAGCTTGATGCGTTACACCACCCACAGCACGTTGTTGATTTGTTCGATTGGCTTCTTAGCGAGCGGGATGACGTTGCTGTTACGGATTGGGTGATGGCCGCGGTCGGGCCCTCGTTGGTGCAGCTGGGGGGATGGGAGAGGGCGCTGCATTTGCTTCGGCAAACCCCATCCTTTTCTTCGGCTAAACCACCCGCCTGCACTCTGGAGGCGCACCGACAGGTACGGAAGCGACTTACTGCGCTTCTCTATTACCTGCATGGCACCATCTCGCTGGAGTCACGGTACTACACGATGTATCACTTCCCTTTTGCGTTTCCGAAGGAGGCGTTTAGGGATCTTCCTCCGCCCTCCGAGCTTTTGGGGCGCTTGAAGCAAAGAGGAGAAGAGGAGCAGACACCATTGATGACGGCTCCTTTTGCACCCAAGACCACCACGCCACGGCGGTTTGCGTCACAGCGTCTGTCCGCCATTGTGCAGCACACTGAAAAATATGATGATGAACTCAGGCGCCGCCTGGCAATGTTGTACGCTAACCGCGCCAACGCCTTCCGCGAGGACGATGCGGAGAAGGACCCGCGCCCACTTCCTAAAGGACTACATGATACAGCAAACGGGTGGAACTTCTATGGTCGCGGTGGGGAGATGGTTTTTGCAAATCACAAACGGACGGCACACCCTTTTTCGATGCATCCAAAATTGATGCGATCATTAGCGGACCCGTATCGTGGATGGAATCCGATGCAAAACAGCTGTTGGGCTCATCGTGAACGTGTAAGAAAGTGGAATGGCAGTAGCGCAGTCTAACGGCTTAACTTCACCTTGCGGCGTGGACAGCGTCTTTGTTTTAATAAACTACAGGATGTGGTACTGGGCATGTCGCGATGGTGCAGGAGGCTTTGCAGCAGTTTTGTAAGAACATTCTGACGATTTGCTTTATTATTATTGTTATTATTTTCTCTCCTGTGTTTTTTTTTTCACATTTAATTTCTGTTTGCTTTTCTCGCTTTTCCTTCATGCTGATTGCTATTTATTATTCCTCCTTTTAGTCTCTCTCTCTCTCTGTGCCATCCTTTTTCCCCCATCATTTACCTATTCTGTGCTACGTGCACTCTGCGTCTTTGCTCGCATCTCCCGCGCCACGCGGCGGCAGTGGCTGCCACTTTTCTTAGGAAAGTGAAGGAGACGGAGGAACGCGGCAGGGGTGGGGGGGTGAGAGGCTTTGCCACGAAGGACGTAAGCGAACAGCGTAACGAATACGTTGCGTATACCTATTTGTGGTGGAGGTCGCTTGCTGAATGATGTCGATCTCTTACACGAATAGTCTTTTCGCACGGGTAACAAGCATTGAAAAGGCGGCCGAGGTAGCAAAGAAGGCGGCGCCCAAAGTTGTGCAGTTGTCGGAGGAGGCCAAAACCCTACCACCACACATCCGGAACGTCACGGAACCGGCGAAACTAAACGCGCAAACGCCATTTTTTAAATGCCCGCCATGGGCCGGACTGCCTGCCGTTGCATGTCATTTGCAATGCACTCGTGATGGAGTCCCATTAGCATCCTTGGGGCTTGAACGATTTCCCTTCTACTTGTTTGGAAGAAGCCGCGTCTGTGACTACGTCCTTGAACACCCATCGATCAGCAGCATTCACGCCGTTATTGTTTTTCACAGTGAACAGCAATGTTTTGTACTGGTGGACTTGGGTTCTACGAACGGCGTCAAGCTAAACGGCCTCCGCATTGAAAAGCGACGACCCATCCCCACACCTATTGGTAGCTGTATTCAGTTTGGTTGCAGCAGTCGCATGTACAAAGTTGCTCGAGGTCCACCGCCTTCATCGAAACGCCTGCGGGAGGAGCAGGAGGAAAAGGCTGTCGCGAAGTTGATTCAGGGAAATGATTCTGGTCATGTTGCTCTTGTTAAGGGCAGTAACGTGGGGAATGTTGCCAGTTCCAGCACTCCCACAATTGAGGAGGATAAACGGGAGGGTGCGGCTTCCACTGTGAGATTGGAAACCCACAAGCTAGAAATGAACATGGCGGAGAAGGGGCAGGGTGCCGTTGATGCTGCTATCCCTTTGCTTTCACCTTCAACTCCACCTTTGCAGGCAGTGGCAGTGGAGGCTCTTCGAGATCAACCCAACTCAGTCACGGCTCCTGAGCCTCTTCCTCATGTGTCGCCAGCGTCGCCTGTAAAGCGGCACCTGTATCAGGTGCTTATTAAGCATAAGGATGTGCGGCGTCCTGTTTCTCTCGCACCGCGCAATAAGGGTGATAAAATTACGCGGTCAAAGCCCGATGCATTAGCATTGGCAGAGGCAATTATTGCACATCATGGTGACCGGAAAGTTGTGTGGTCGCTAGATGAGTTTACCACGGTGGTCCGTGACTACAGTGAGTGTGGTTCTGCCAAACGGAATGGTGACTTGGGCATGGTGGAGAGCGGCACTTATACAGATACCTTTGACCTTGCAGCATTTGCGCTCGACTGTGGTATGGTAAGTGCACCAGTGGAGACGGAACTCGGTGTGCATCTTATTTATCGCGCGGCGTAAAATGAATGCTGTTTCTGGCAATGACGTTACGGGGAACGTCCTGCCCGCCGCGAAATTTGTTGTGAAGAACAAAGCTACTTCGCGGCAGTGGTGGGCTGGCCGGCATTGCAGTGTTGGTCTGATGAAGTTGCGTGTGACATATATATATATATATAATAAACACCCATATATTGGTATTGTTGTTGTTTTGTTTTGCTTTGTTTGCCTCTCTCTCTGTGTGTGGTTCCGCCATCGTTTTCTTGATGGTCATGCAGCAGGTGTCACACACCCCTCCGCACTCTCCCTTACTTGCGTCTTGATGGACTGAGCTAGGTGAAAGTGTACCTATTGGCATAATAAAGGGGCATTGTCCAAATAACACAGAACAGGGGGGTGGGGGGCCTACACCAAACAAGACGGAAGAAGAAGGAGAGGGGACAAGGGGGAGGGAAGTAAAAACAAAGACAAAAGCGAAGTGAGTTCTTTCAGTCATACAGTATATAATGGGACCTATTGCCAGGAGGTTGACGGAGGACCTCCTTAAGCACTCGGACCCGCAACAGTTTCTACTTTGGAAGAAAGGTGTCAGTGTGAAGTGTGACTACGCAGGGAACGGCGCTGGCTACTTGGGACAAATAATAATTCTCCGCAACACGATGAGTCAATTCGAGGCAGTTGAAGATGGAGATGATGCGAACGAATCTGTTTTATTTTCCTCCATCTTTACGGAGGAGACAACACGGAACGAAACCTCCTCTACAGATAAGCTGCAGGGCAGCGGGGAACACTTTGTGCTATGGGTGCCAGATTCGTTTATTGATTTTCAAGCCCACCATGCAGGACAGCTGGGCTCCACGACCTCCTCTGGTGTTACAACCTCCAACACGGAGGCGTTAGAGTGGAGGTACATTATGTGTGTGGCGGTAAACAACATCGCGAAGGTGCGGAGAAGCACTCAACCAGATGGAAAATGTACGATTAAGTTGTGCTTTCTCAACGGTGCGACAGGGCATCCGCTGATATTTGTGGAAGGTGGCGTCACGAAGTTTCTTGAGGTTTTAAGAAGCATCTCACCGTTGCGGCAGAGTTGCGTTACCGCGGATGACTTCCTTGTCTACGCCTCTGACGAAGCAGAGGCAGGGGCCGCAGATTGGCTTGGAAGTGCGAATGAGACGCGACAGTGCAGCGTTGGTCTCCAGAGTGGCAAACGATATCGATTGAGTGGGCAGGGACCTGAGCGGTCCACGCGGCCCAAGGATGTGGAGCATGTTTTGTATGAAGGTAACGAGAGATCCTTTTTATCACGTTTTACTGCCACAGTCGCAACAAAAATTAATAAGGTGCGCTCAAAGCGCTTCGCTAATCTCACTCAGCAGCGTGGGTGGGGTGCACCCACAAGCCCCGCCACGCCTTCTCTAACGCAGACTGATGACTCACGGTCAGAGGAGCAGTTTGAGTTTGTGGAAGAGGTTATCCCGGTGGAATTTCAAACCCCTCGCATTTCAGAACCCAAGGGCCGTGCAATGGGACCACCACTCACAGCAGAGATGTGGAATAGCTGCTTTATTGGTGAGGAACGTCGCATTGATAGGACCCGCTACGCTAACGCGATGGAAATTGCCTACAGAGGTGGAATAGAAAAGAAAATACGGCTGGAGGTCTGGTGCTTTGTGCTTCACGCGTACCCGGACTTGTTTGACTCCACAGAGGCCCAGCGACAATCCGTGCGTGACAGCTATAAGACTATGTACGAACAACTCAAGGGGCAGTGGGAAAGTGTATTTCCACTACAAGAGGCCAACTTTTCCGCCTTCCGTGGAATGCGTGTGGCGATTGAAAAGGATGTGGTGCGCACGGATCGATCTCATGAGGCCTATTTGGATGCAAACGGCGTGAAGCAGCGCATGCTCTACAGTGTGTTAATGACACACGGAATGTTAAACTTCGATTTAGGTTATTGCCAGGGGATGAGTGATGTACTTTCACCCATTGTCCTTCTTGCTGAGACAGAGGAGGAGGCCTTTATGTGTTTCTCCCGTTTCCTCTCTGAGCGTTGTGAGGGAAATTTTTGCAATAATGTTAAAGCGGGTATGGAGCAGCAGCTTCAACAACTGCAGGTACTGGTTCGAGTTTTCATTCCACAGCTTTACAATCATATGGTGAGGCAATGTGTACAGGATATGTCATGCTGTTTTCGTTGGCTGCTGATGCTGTTTAAACGCGAGTTTCCTATGAATGACACAATGCTGCTATGGGATGTCATTCTGAGTTGCCCCTACACGTCACAATTTGAACTATTCATCACTGCAGCGCTACTGAAGTCCTTGTCACCGCAGATACTTGAGCAGCACCTGATGTATGATGAACTGCTGCAGTTTACAAACAACATCGCTGGTAGGTTAGACGTCCGGCACGTGATTGTGTTGGCGCATGACTTTTACGATGAGGTTGCTAAGAGTGTCATGACGCTGGAGAGGCAAGAGGCCGCGGTGAGGAACTACCGGCCGGCACTAAAAGAAATTATTTCTCTACTGAGGCGTGCTGAAATGGAGGATCCCCGTGCCGTTGCGGGGTGCGCGTTTGAATAGTGGCTGCTACTGCTATTGTGCATTGCTGTAGTTGAGTTGGGCTGCAATAAAAAGTGGTTGTCCTTTTATATTTATTTTTGCATATATGTCTGTGTATGTCTATGAGGTGGGGAGAGTGCCACGAGCACCACAACACGACCCCCCCCCCTTTTTTTTTTTGCTGTAAAACAGCAAGAGAGTTGCAAAAAGGAGGAAAAATAAACCAACCAAACAACCAGACAAAAAAAAACTCTGCGGGACTGTGATAAAGAAACGAGGAATGAATTTAATGCATACAAAAACAAAACAAAAATGATAATATTCGTGAGACAAATAAGTTGGGGGTTAATTGTGCACCATGCACGTGCATGTTGGAGCCCACACCTCATTGCTGGCGGTATTTCAACATTTGAAGCGTTTTATCTCTCTGCCTCTATGTGCATGTATGTATGTATGTACGTGTATGTCTTGATGCTGCTGCAACGGAAGCAGTCGCCTCATTCCACGTTGATGCTCCGCTGTTTATTGTGAGTGTGGTTTACATACTGCTATTCTGTTCTTCTTGTTTGCTGGTTTTTCTGTGTCTTTGTGACTGCCGCCACCACTTTGGCAGACACCATGTCGAAACAGCGTAGGGAAAGTGCCTTCGCGTTGGTGCAGCGACTCAAGGCTTCTCCTGTTGGGCTGCTTCCACCCATCTTCCAAAATGCGACGGATGGTGGGTTGCGTCAGAGCGATGTCCTCGTTGTCGGCGGGGCTCCGGGAACCGGCAAGACGACGTGGGCGTATCGTGTCGCTGCACAACATCTTAGCTGTGGCGGTGTCGTCACATTTGTTTTCCTCCCTGGAAGTGGGAGCTTTCAAATGCGTCGCTTCATGGAGTATCTCGAGACGTTTGCGGTGGCACCTGACCTCTTTACCCCTTCCTCATCGTGTCATTATTTGCCACAAGTGGCGGACGCATCGACGATGGAGATGCGACGCAAGGCGCTGCTTGGCGCGCTGGACCGCCTAGAGGTGGTGCACTGCCTTGACATCAACGACTTCTTTGTGTACTGCAACCACGCGGTTGCCACTGCTGCCGCCTCCAGAGCAGGAACACAGGAGGTGGCGGTTCCGCTCCTTCTCGTGGAGGGCTGTGGCGGGAAGGGCAGCTACCTGTATCACATGGAGCTAGCTGTTGGGCACGAGGTTCCACTTTGTCATTGGCTTCTCGACTGCCTCCAGCGTCAGAGGAGATGCGCGCTTATTCTTATTGAGGAATGGGGATGTGAGAGTGTCGGTCTGAGTCGACCGCGTGTCTACTCGCGAGAGGAGGACTCCTCCCCGTTTGCGCTGGCGGTGGAAGAGGAGTCCGATTTTCTTCATCGCTTACGCAAAGAAAGATCGCAGCGGAAGGCTGTCTTACGTCAGCACTCTGCAAAGCGGCAGCGAGTTTCCTCCGCCACGGCTATGGCTAATACTACCGCTACTACTACTACTACTACCGCTAGCACCAGCAACGGCGTTACCGCTCCCCCGCCTGTGCCGCTGCCATCGAATTTTGTGACGGAGTTGCACTCACACTTTGAGGGGAGTCGGCGGCTCTTTTATCTTTACACAGAGACGCTGCCCATTGCGGCTCGCGGGGTCTCCGCAGTCGCACGTCTGTTGCAGTGGCGTCTTACAGAACAAGACACACGTAATGAAAACAAGAACAACAACGCTGCAGTGCTTACGGAGCCCATACGGCAGCAACGCTGGCCGCAGCTGGCTGAGGGAAAGGCGCGGCTGTGCGGGGAGGTTCTTTGCGTGGCTCAACTTTGAGGTGGTTTTCCGCGCACAGCTCCACTTTCTTATTGCAAGGATGGACACAACCGTGAGCCCCAACTTGTTCCTGGTGAAGCAACGTGACTTGTGTGGGGAAGAGTGGGGTGGGCGCTGATGCCCCCATATTTGCTTCTTAAACTCAACTTCCGCTGAACCCCATCTTCAACGGAGTTTTTTTTTTTGTAAAAATTATTTACCTTGACACCACTCCCTCCCTTACCTAATGAACACACAAAACAACAAAAAAAAATGCTTTTATTATCTGCAGTAAGGTGACGCACGCAGCGTTAGGTAGGACGGCATTTAATGAGCAACATCAGTGATGACGACGACCGCGTGCTCGGGATAGCAACGCAAGATTCCGTTGCCGCCTTGGCCACCGCACACCCGAGCGGTGAGGAAGACAAGGAAGCTGGAGAAGAAGAGGACATGTACCTGGACTTGGGACCGCCTAGCGACAAGGACAGCAATGGTGATGAGGCTGGTGATGGTGGTGGCGAAGGTGGGAGCCAGTGTAATAGAGCAGACGATGTCGACAAGGATAACAGCGAGGTGACACAACTTTCAGACGAGACGCTTATTGCCATTACAAGCAAGATGGAGGCGAAGGCATTGGGAGGGGAGTTGTACAAGCGCTGGAAAAAGTTACAGAGGCGGGACAGGAAGAAGGAGCGGCATCGCCATGATAGCAAAAGGAAAAAAAAGAGCAAGCGAGATGATAAGAAAAGTAAAGGTAAAACGAGCGACAGAAAGAGACGCCGTCGAGCCGACGATGATGAGGAAAGCCACCATGATGTGGACCCGGGGAATGACGATTCGGATGAGGATGCCTATTATAATTACCACGAAGAAGGTGAAAAGGTTGCCCGTAAAAAGAAAGGAAAACGCACTCGTCGTGAGAAGCCCATTGCCCTCGGGGATGAAGATTTGGGTGCAGCGCCGTTTGCTGACCTGGATGAGGTGCTTCAGGTGGAAGAGGCTGCAGCAAAGCATTCCGGCAGACATGGGGTTAAGGGCGTGCAGACGGAACCGAAACCGAAGAAGCTCTCGGAGGAGGCACAACGTGGGATGTTTCGAAACATTGCCGCAAATGTTGTCAATGTAATGCGAGAAGCACGACTGAAGGATGAAGTGGATATGAATGAGCGGCGCCCTCCGTTGCATCGAGTGGCTATCCGTGAATATGTCATCTCACAGTGTCGTCGCAAGGCGTTGCGTTCATTTCTCATTGTGGAGGGTATTTTGCAGGAGCTGAGTACGTGGTTGTATGATTTTGTTCGTAACGAGCTGGCCGCTTTTGAGTTGCGTTCTGACGCACTTGATATACTTTTGCAGTTTCCCATCGACGGTGAGCTGGACGCTGGGGTAGCACGGAACGGGGATGAGGTTTTGGACGCCTTCACAGGTATTACGCGCGAACAACTTATTCACACCGACCTTGGCAGTGCCGTCAATGCCCTTCGGCAGTCAAAGCAGGAAGTGCACCAGAACCGCGCCAAGGCGGTTCGGCTGCTCGAGAGGTTGAGTCGGGCTATGGCTGGCGGTGTCCGAAGTGCACGTCGCGGTAGTGCTGATGCTGATGGCACCCGTGGGTCGCATGCAGGTGGTGGTCTCTCTGGCAGTGTGACCTGGAAGTGCAAAGATGATCCGACAGTGGCGCCACCGTTTCACACGGTAAGGACAGGAACAGAGGTATTTCAAAGCGCCCTTGCACGGCCTGATCCTCTCGATCCCTTGTCGTACTTGCGCCTGCCACCGCGACGGGCACCAAAGGCATATGTGACGAACTTGGGGGGCAATGTTGGTGCAGGGGAATAGAGGCGGTATGGCCCATTCAACGCTTTATTATTATTATTATTATTTTCCTACCTTTTTTTTGTTTTGCAGTGGATGGTGGTGATGTTTTCTTGTGTAAGGGGGATAGCCACGTGTGTCACTTCCACTGCACATTCGCGTCTTTACTACTTCTGTTAGATACAACAATTATCTTAAATAACGAGCAATAACACACCTCAATACATAAATAAAGAAGGTAGTTACAAAGGAATCAACAGAAAAGAAAGAAAGAGAGAAAAAAAAACAAAAACAAAAAAAGAAAGAAGGTTTTGGAAAAATGAAAATCGGAATTATTGGTTGTGGTAACATGTGCGAGTGCATCCTTGCTGGCCTTGTTTCGAGCAAAGAGTACCCCCCAGACTCTATCTACGTCTTTAACCGAACTGCCGCGACCGTGAAGCGGTTGTGTCAGCGGTATGGGGTTCAGCCTGGTAAGGACGCGTTGGACGTGGCTAAGAAGTCGGATATCATTATGCTCGGCGTTAAGCCGTATGCAGTTTTCTCAGTTGTGGAGATGATACGGGACGCCGTTACGGAAGACAAGATTGTTCTCTCCGTTGCAGCGGCCATTACGATTGCATTGATAGAAAAGGCATTGGTGCATCGTCGAAAGGTTGTACGCGTGATGCCGAATGTTCCGGTGCGTGTGGGTGCCGGTGTCACATCCGTCACACCAAACAACCTAATGACCCCCGAGGATACAGAGCTGATTCTGAAAATGTTCCGCACGGTGGGGATGGCGGTGCAAGTGGAGGAGTCGCAGATCCATGCGGTAGGTGCCGTGGCCGGCTCAGCCCCCGCCTACGTTTTTATGTTTATGGAGGCGATGGGTGACGCGGCCGTGCAAGGAGGACTGCCACGGGATAAGGCATACGCGTTTGCCGCTCAAACAGTAATGGGAGCGGCGAAGATGTTACAGGAAAGTGGGGGAGTGTCACCCGCACAGCTGAAAGACATGGTGTGCTCGCCTGGTGGTACGACTATCGAGGCGGTGAGGACTCTCGAGAAGGGGGGCATGCGTTCTGCCGTCATTGAAGCTATGATCGCGTGCGTTGGCCGCTCCAAAGAGCTGGAGGCCAAACTAAACTAGTGATTTCCCGCAAGGGTTTACTGTTTAGATGCGTTTGGTTTTGCTGCGCTTTTTTGTTTGCTTGTTTATTTTATTTTATTTTCATTTGGAAGAAGAGCTTTTTTTTTTTTTCGTCGGTACGCAGTAGAGGGGTGGGATGTATTTTTATTTTCTTTTTTTTTGTACCTGCGTTTATTATCAATCTGTCTGCGGCTCCATTTGATATATATTTTTTCCCATCTACTGTTGTCGCCGTGTGTCACGCGGCACACACACACACACGCATGTATGGGACATCCTACTTAGTTGCTTGACGTCGGGGAGAAGGGGATGATGACGAACGTGTGGGAGGGGCAGTCGTGCGCCCAACAGCTGCGCCAGACATTGTGTGAATGAGAAGTACAAAAAACGAAGGGGAAGAAGAGCCGGCAGGTGATTGCAACGGTAAGGATGTGTGATGGGGTCTGAACCTACTTTGTGTTTGTGCCTATGTGTGTCTCTCTGTGCCGTGAGCTCATGTCTCTTTTCGGCTTGAAACATCATCACTTCGTGTGTGTGTGTGTCTTTCCCATTTCTTTTATCCTGAAATACCTCCCCAGCGAAGGGGAACGGGAAAACGAGAAGAGAAGGTAGAAGTATTTTTTTTGCGGGAGGAAGAGGGCTGAAAGTGGCCAGGCGGACGCAACGCAGTTAGGTAGACGCGAAGGTAAAAACCACGGTATATTTTTAAATATGAGGCGGATGCCGGGGGGCGCAAGGCCTGCAAGTGCCACACCGATCGTTCTTTCTGTCGCGGCATCTCAGCAGCACCCAGACGGTACGGACCGCAACAATGGTACAGGCAATCAGGCGACGTATGAGCTGTTGCATGTACTGGGTAAAGGGTCGTTTGGCGTTGTCATGATGGCACGCGTAAGGGAAACAGGGAATACGGTCGCTGTAAAGAAGGTTCTCTTCGATGGTCGCCTGCACAATCGCGAGCTCTTGCTTCTGCGTGATCACCTTGGTCCCAACTCCGTCAGTGAGCAGCCTGTTTTAGCTAGCCCTGATAATTCTGGTACTGAAACTGTGAAAAACGATCACCACAGCACCAATAACTTAGCACTTAAAGCGGGGACCCCCCCAATTGGGGATGCAACGCCTACTCCTACGATCGTGCCACATCACCCAAGTATTGTGAGGCTATTGGATCACTTTACTGCGTCAGGTCCCAACGGGGAACAGTACCTGTATATTGTGATGGATTACCTCCCATTGGATATTCACCAGCTACATAATATGTATGTGAGACAGAAACAACAGCGAATGCCAATTATGCTGGTGAAGATAACTATGTTTCAGGTGGCACGCGCGCTAGCCTTCCTGCATTCGCGCGGCATATGCCACCGCGATGTTAAGCCTAGCAATCTACTGATTGACCCAGAGACGGGAGTCCTGAAGCTTTGTGATTTTGGCAGTGCCAAGGTGATGCAACCCCCAGGCGTGAATGGCCCACGAGAGAAGAATGTATCCTACATTTGTTCCCGCTACTACCGCGCTCCTGAGTTGTTGCTGGGTTCATTGTACTACCATTTTCATATAGATCTATGGGCAGCTGGCTGTGTGCTCGCGGAGCTGCTTTGCGGCGAGGTGTTGTTTAAGGGGGGCAGTACGGTAGATCAAATGGCCGAGATATTCAAAGTTCTTGGGGCCCCATCACGTCAGGAGCTTTTTGCACTCAATCCACAGAGCGCAGAAGCTCTCCTTCACGCCAGTGGAGCGGACCTTGAAGTGCCACCTGCGTCGGCTGCGAGTGCCGCTACTAGTAGTGACTACCTGCAGCGCTATCACGCCCTTCGCATAAAGGCACTTCAATGGCAAAATGTGCTTCCACCCAACACCGCACCAGCTGCGGTCTCGCTGGTAGGCGAGTTGCTTCGGTACACGCCAGCTGAGCGACTCTCCGCCGCAGAGGTCCTGGAACATTCTTTTTTTGACGACATCTTTGCCGAGGATGCCTGTCTACCAAGTGGAGCACCGCTTCCTGTCAGTATGTTTGAGGTGACTGCTGAAGAAATGGAGACTCTTCCCCACTGGCTTCTGGAGCGGATGGCCTCCGCGGAGGCCTTTGCAAGGCGACGGCTCGCAGAAGCAGGTGATGACGGTAAAAACATGCCACAAAAGTGAAAATAAGAAATACTTAAACGAAAACCAAGAACAAGAAAGCGAAGTGACAATAACCAATTAAATATACGCACATATATATATATATATATATATATATAATGAGAGGAAGAGAGAGCATGAACGGTGGGGATGGGAAGGAGTAGGAAAACAAGCTGCGGGAGAAGAGCGGAAAAATGTGAGAGGGTCACCACAGCGGCGGTTACACGAATCGTGTAGAGGTGTGGAGGGAAAGGGGGGCTACAGACTGGATGTGTGATGTAACATATTCACGAGGCACTATTGCCCACGTTCCCCTCCCCTTCACTTTACTTCAGCTAGCAGGCGCCATTTCGGGGGTGGGGGTGGGGACTGAAAAAGAGTGGGAAAAGGAAGGAGTGGAAGGCTTGCAGGCGCGAGAGGTAACTCCTGCTAACAACAAATTAAAACGAACAAGGGGGCATTTCATTACACTGGTTCCTAACCAGCAGGCAAAAAATAATTGTAACGCCAAGGTTTACAGAATGTGGATAATGGAATTGGCGGGAAGGTGAAGTTGTGTGGTGGGGCAGGGCGGAGGGGGGTTCTCTGCAGATTTGTTTGGTAAGTTTGTTTTATTTTTCTAATGTTTCCGTCATTAGTAGTAATGTTGCTGACTGTGAAGTGTTGGGGTTACCAAGTTGCCACTTTTCTTTCTTTCTTTCTTTGATTTCTGTTTTAATTTATATATTGGTTTTTCTTTGTTATTGTTGTTCCGAGGTTCGATTGGCTTTCTTTCTTTGGCGTCCTTCCCCATTCCTCATCAAAAAAGAAAAGAAAAAAAAAGACAAAAATAAAAAGAAAAGGGGGAGGGAGGAAAAGTCTGTGAG